GGGGGCGGGCGCTGTGGGTGAGAGGTGGGCGCTGTGAGTGAGGGGTGGGTGCTCCGGGTGGGAGGTGGGTGCTGGGGTGGGAGGTGGGTGTCGGGGATGCGGGTCTGCGCGGGGTGGGGGCTGTAAGTTGAGAGGTGGGTGCGCAAAAGGGGTGCTCCGGGTGCGTGTGGAGCGGGTGCTGCGTGTGCAAGAGGTGGGTGCTGCGGGTGACAGGGGGGTGCTCTGCGTGTGCAAGAGGTGGGTGCTGCGGGTGACAGGGGGGTGCTCTGCGTGTGCAAGAGGTGGGTGCTGCGAGTGGGAGTTGGGTGCTCTGCGTGTGTGTGAGCGGAAAGTGGGTGCTGCGTGTGGGAGTGGGGGTGTTCCGCGTGGGTCTGTGTGACAGGTGGGTGACAGGTGGGTGCTGCGGGGGCACGGGGTGGGTGCTGTGTGTGAGCAGCGTGGGACAGGTGGGACAGGAGCGGGTCACCCACCCGTGAGCCCCAGCCGTGCCCCGGGTGTTGGTGGTGGGTACCCAACGGTGTGGGAGCTCCCGTGGGAGCYCCGCGGTCCCTCCAGCCCGGCTCCCGGTGCCTGTTCGTGCCGGAGCGCTGTGCCAGCCCCGCTCTGAGCCCCTCAGCATCCACGGGCACAGCGAGTGCCATCCTCCCTGCCCATCCTGCCYCCGCTCGCCGCCGTGCTCGGACGGTGATAACCGGGACCCCCCCGGCTCGCAGAACCGAGCGCTGAGCCGGATTTTCCGGGTGACCTGACGCCTCCATCCCCATCTGCAGTATCCGGGGGGCCCGGGCGGAGCTGTCGGGGCGGTTGGAGGATGGCACKGCGCTGCCTTCATCCGAGCTGGCAGCTCCGCGGGCAGCTGCGCTCCGCTGCACGCTCAGCCCGGCACAGAGCCCTGCGCGGGAGCTGCCTCCCCGCGGCTGCGGATGGACAGAGCCACGGCCGAGGGCTCCGGGKCTCTTGGCTGGGGGCAGTCCCGGGGAGGTCAGGGCCGTGGGACCCGGCTGGGTGCCCGCACCGCCGTGGCGGGAGGTTTGGCCAGGGGCTGCCCCCAGGGACTCGGTCCCAAAGCGCTGAGCAGCGCTGCTGTCCCTGATCCTGTCCCAATGCTGTCCCCATGCTGTCCCTGATGCCATCCCCGATGTTGTCCCTGATGCCAGCCCCGATGCCATCCCCGATGCTGTCCCAATGCTGTCCCCAATGCTGTCCCTGATGCCATCCCCAATGCTGTCCCTGATGCCATCCCCAGTGCTGTCCCTGATGCCATCCCCGATGCTGTCCCAATGCCATCCCCAATGCTGTCCCTGATGCCATCCCCGATGCTGTTCCTAATGCCAACCCTGATGGCAGCACTGATGCCATCCTTGGTGGTGCCCCCGATGCTGTCCCTGATGGCAGCCCTAATGTCAGCCCCGATGCCATCCCCGAAGCTGTCCCAATGCTGTTCCCGATGCTGTTCCTGTTGCCACCCCCAATGCTGTCCCTGATGCCATCCCTGATGCTGTCCCTAATGCCAGCCCTGATGCCACCCTTGGTGCTGTCCCCRGTGCTGTCCCTGATGCCATCCCCAATGTTGTCCCTGATGGCAGCCCTGATGCCACCCTYGGTGCTGTCCCCTAACGCKGTCCTCCCAGGGATCAGCTGATGGTTAATCCCGGCTCTCACTGGGACTTGTCGATGGCAGATGTACCTGCTGGACGGGTGTATCAGGCACTCTGTGGGTGCTGGCCCTGTGACACTGCCCCACATGGGTCCCCAGGGTCACCGGGGGATGCTCTGCGTGTCCCTAGGGACACAGCGTGGCTGGAGCGCCCCTGGCAGCGAAGGGTTTTGGGTGTCATGGATTCTCTGCCCCATAGATGGGTGCGGGTGAGCAGAGGGGACAGTGTTCTGTGCCACTGTCCCACCGGAGCAGTAAACCCCTCGGTGTGACCCTCCTCTGCCTCCTGCCCTGCCCGGGGGCTGGTGGCCGGTGGCACAGCTCCGGGGGTGGGTGGGGGTCCGGAATGGGTGACAGCAGCGCTGGGTGAGGGTGCTGGGGGCTCCCGCTCCCTGTAAGAACCCCAATCCCCTTACCCGGCCGGGGCCTGGGGTCACCCCGCGCTGGGGRCACAGGGACACCCACACCCCCCTGTCCCCGCACCCACGCCACCCCGGGGCAGACACGCACCCGTGGGCCCCGGGGCTGCCGCGTCCCTGTGCACCCAGGCATGATGTCACCCGTTGCCATGGCAATGCTGCTGCATCACTGCGTAGCAGCGCGCCCCAATCCCGGGATTTCCACAGGGGCTGCGTGGCGTGGGCAGCGCGATGGGGCACGGCTGYCCCGGGGATTGCGGGGTGTAAGGGTGCTGCTGGGTGTCCCCACACGGGTGGCAGCCGCCCCTGCCCGCAGGGACCCCCGTGCCTGTGCCAAAAATGGGTCTGAGCTGCTCAGGGGGATGACGGGCACAGGATCAGGGCAATGATGGGGCATTAATCAGCGCTCACAGCTGCCACATGTSCCCGCATCCCACGGTGTGCCAGGGYACGCRYCAGCCTGTCCCCACTGTGCCACTCGCAGCGTGCTGTTGGTATCTGTGACACTCTGTGGGGTGACTGGCGGTGTACGGGTGGGCACCGGGGCAGTGCCGGGGCCGGACAGTGCCCAGCACACCGGGAGGATGGCACAGGCCAGGGTTCCTGTCCCCAGCTGCCCTTTGGCCCCTTGCACCACCTGCGAGCAAACAGCTCTCACGAGAAATATTCCCAGAGGTTGGAAAAATAAATAATGTAGGGG